TTAAAATAAATGTATAAATGTACTACAAATGTTGTTTAAAACAAATTGTTATAAATCATGTTTAGGAGCTAAGCACGAACATAAGGACATGCTCAGCTGCTAGTACATATTAATTCTTTACAAAAAAAAATCTTCCCACCGTCTTTTCAACCAACATTAATTTCTTGATAATTAATTATTTATCCAATATATTTTGTTTATTTTCTTATTATTAATGAATGATTTTTATACATACAAAATAATTTGAATTATTTCTAATGGGATGTAGTAAAGACTCTGTTTGGATACACTTTGAAGCATCAAATGATAGAAGACATAATAAAACAAACAATCATTATGATGCAAAATGTAAATATTGTAATGAATTAGTGAGTAGGCAGCCAGAAAGACTTAAAAATCATATAAAAAGATGTAAAAATGTTGATGAAAGTATTAAGTCAAGATATGGTAATTGTTCATCCAGCCAAAATGTACAGTCTATATTAGAACAAACAAAATTAACTTCATTTGTTGATAAATGTTATCAAAATGAAAAAGAAGAAATTGATGCAATATTAGCTCATATGATTTTTGGTTTAGGCTTACCATTATCACTTGTAGAAGCTCCTGCATTTGTAGAATTTTGCAAAAAGTTACGTCCATCTTATGAGTTACCTTCAAGAAATGTAATAAGTGAACGTTTATTAAATAAAGAATTTGAGAATGTACAAAAATCAATTAAAAAATTAGTTGATAATGCAAAATTTGTTTGTATTGCAACTGATGGATGGACTAACTTGAGAAATGAACCTATAGTAAACTTCATCATCACAACTCCAAAACCAGTGTTTTGGAAAGCCATTGAAACTAAAGAAACATCACATACCTCTCAATTTATTTCAGAATCTATTGATCAGGTGATAAATGATATAGATCATAAAAAATTAGCTGCAGTGATTACTGATAATGCCAGTAATATGAAAGGAGCTCATGATATTTTGAAGAGAAAATATCCAGATGTTATTTTCATTGGTAAAATTAATTTTAAATTTTTATTTTTATAGTTTTCACAATAAAAAACTATACTAATTAATATTTGCTATATAATTAGGTTGCATTGCACACAACATCAATTTGTTAATAAAGAAAATCATTGAGAATAACTGGGCAGCAGACATAATTAGAATTACTAAGGAGATTGTTAAATTTTTTCGTGCACATCACATTGAAGGTGCTTGTTTAGCTCATTTACAACAAGAAAAAATTGGAAAAATTATAAGATTACAACTGCCTGTCAAGACAAGGTGGGGCACTCACCACAATTGTTTGTTATCTGTTTTAAATAGCAAAAGGGCATTGCAGGTACTGCTAAAATTTATAATATTCATTTAAAATTATAACAATATTTATATAATTTTAAAATATTTTTATACATAGATGGTTATTTTTGAAGATTCTGTAAGCAGTAAAATTAGTCTTTCATTATACAACAAATTATTGGATCCTGGATATTGGACTGATCTTGAACTTTTATGTAGTTTTTTAAATTACTTTACAATTGGTTTTAAATTATTTGAAGGAGATACTCCAAACTTATCCAAAGTTTATCATTGGTTTGTACTCTTACCTTATTTAATGTTATTTGATAATAAAGTACAACATAATTATAATTTACCAACATAAATTGCAGGTTTATAGAAATTGGTAAAAAAATTTGGACCTCATCACTTCCTATTACTGATGCAGCTAAGCAAGCACATTCAGATAGATGGCAAAAAATGTATCACCCTGCAATGGTTTTAGCATATTACCTTGATCCTAGGTATTGTGGTAAGAGTTTATCACAAGAACATTCACGAATAAACTTTTTAATTGAAGAAGCATCAAAGTTGATCAATAGAAGTTTAAATGCTCAACTAGCAAGAGAAATGCTGGAATACCAAAGCAAATCAGGTGTGTTTAACTTAAATGTATTATGGTCGGATGAAGCTACAAAGAATCCTACTACTTGGTGGTCTGCTTTAAAAAATGAGGTGCCAGTACTCTCTGAACTTGCTGCTAAACTTATGTCAATTCCTGCTTCATCAGCAGCAGCAGAAAGAAATTGGAGTCATTTTGGCTTTGTTCATAGTTTAAGAAGAAATAGACTAACTAATGACAGAGTTTTTAAATTGGTTTATATATATTCAAATCTTCATTTGAATGACAAAGTTACAAATGATAATATAAATGAAAATTATGAAAGTGAAATTGAGAATGAATATTGGGATGCATATTATTTTGATGAATGAATTATAATTTGATTTTTTATAATAAAATTGACTTTCTTAGCTTTACAAATCTTTCCATTTTTATACTTAGTGCTACATATGACTGTTATATAACACTGTTATATTGTTATAAAAAAATTTATAACATGTTATATTACATCACTATTTAATACATACATATGCTTGGTTTTTTGTTATACAGTCTAATATATTATTTACCTTTCAACTTTTCATTGACTTCATCAAATCAACATTTTTACCTTTGATCATGAATTGTCATTCATTATATACCTCAACAATGGCAACAACAATATTCCCCAAAATCTGACATCAATCCAGATATATATAATACCCTTATGGATCCACAGTCTTTAAATGAATGGTACAACATAATCAAAAATCTTCCTAATGACAAGGCTTGCAGGACCATCAGGAATAACAAATGAAATGATTAAATACCTTGGTGAAAAATCTTCCCTTGTAATATTCAATATAGTTTGTGCTTGTATCAAATTGAATGACATTCCTTCAGCTTGGAGAGAAGCCAACATTTATCCTATCCCAAAACCAAAAGATTGGAATTCAGATTTATCAAATACTCGTCCAATCACTTTACTAGAAACCATCCATATAAAGCAATGGTACAAATAATAAATGACCATTTAATGAAATTATGGTTGAACATAAAATCCTAAAAGGCAATCAATTTGCTGCTTTGCCTGGATCTTCAACCTTTGAACCAATTAGAATTATTAACAAAACTATAGAAGATGCAAAAGAACAAAAAAAAAAGAAATTTGGCTACTTTTCCAAGACCTGTCAAAAGCATATGATAGAGTCAATATTTTCATGCTCAAGAAGGCTTTTAAAAGGCTATGTTTACCATCAAACTTTATTACACTCATTTTAAACTTATTCTCAAATTGTAAAAATTGAGTATTTACTGCAGTAGGAACAACTGATCTATTTGACATAGATCAGGGAGAGGTGATTTCACCCCTTTTATGGTGCATATACTATGATCCCTTATTATGTGAGATAGAGGAAAGAAAACTTGGACACAATATAAGACAACATTTATCAGTATCAGCATTCATGGATAATACTTCTTGGATAACAGAATCAAAACAAAATTTAGAATTAATATTGTCCATTGCAGATGGTTTCTATATACAAAAATCAGAATTGTATTTATAATAATGAAGTAGACCTAAACTTTGGAAATGAACAAATCAAAATTCAACCAAAGAAATATTCAGAATCCATCAGGATACTAGGTATCTGGATGAACCTTGGAAAAAAGAGGAACATCATTATCCAACAAGCTAAAGATGAAGTCTTAGAATTGTGCAATATAATGAAAAAGAAACTCATCACAGACAAACAATTACTATATATTTACAATACAGTAATAATTCTGAGGATAGAATATTGTACACAATTAACTTACAATTGTAAACAATAGAATGATTTACAATTATAGAAATTTGTATGAATGATCAAAAACTTTTAGGAAATATTACAGACATCAGCTGGCTTTCTGGATATTTGTTTGCAATATCTTCATACAAACAATACAAACATAATGGTCTAAAAATTAAATTT